ACTAAAACTTGATAAGGCTCTCACTCAGTGAGAGCTTTATCTATTTAATAAAGTTTTGCTTTGTCTCCATGCATTTTTATTTAATAAATTCTTGGAGAGTCAACTTGCCAAATGCACAGGGATTGTTTCTAGAGATCCCACACCTGGAGTATATCTAGATGGTGATTCACGGGTCAACACCTCTGCGGCCCAGTCTATGACCAGGCGAATAATGTAAATTTATGTCCTTTTAATAAAAAAAAATTCAAATTAGGACTTGTTTCAAATTTCAGAGGTTACTTGTCTTTAGATATACAAATTGCATTCATATTCAATTTTGTAAGAAGTAATAAAAAGAATGAAAATAGATTTGAGCAAAACTTTCCATTTAGTTTTAAATTTAGAGGTATTGGCCAAGCCAAAAGAAATCAGGCACCAAGAAAAAACCACTAATAATCACATTTGAAAATCACCCATCATTGAAATGTTCCATAAAGCATTTCAAACAGCCTTAAGTAAACTCTTAATCCTCCCCATCTGTGAAGGAGATACAAACACATGGTGATGTTTCAGACTCTCTCTGAAATATTTGCGTAAAGTCAGGTTTTGTATGCAGATGCCTTTAAATTTTGTCATAGCACGAGTGCATATTTTCTGATTTTGAAGAACTGTGCAGAACCTTTTTTTTTTTTTCCATGAAGGTCACAATTTCTTTTATAGTCTACCATAAATAATGGTCCAGGTAATTATGAAATATGCAAGAATTCCAAAAACATTGAGGACATCAGATATATCATAACATTATTTTGGAGGTAAAAAATATAAAAATAACAGGTTTGGCTAGACACACAGGAATAGTTCTTAAACAAACAAAACAAACCTTTTGTTTCCTTGTGCAGTATAAAAAATGTAGTTTACATGCAGTAAAATATTGTTAAACACAAAAAAAAGTCACTAAATATTTTCCAAGATTTTCTCACTTGTGTTCATTGGTATATTAGCATAAATCTATATAGGGCAGTTGACCAGGCATCCCAAATGGTCTGCTTTATATGTATTAGGTAGATGGCGAGAATATTTTGAGGAACTTTTAAATGTTAAGGAAGAAACAGAGGCAGTAATTTCATGCACTGGTCAGGGAGGTATACCATCTTTTAGGAGTGAAGAAGAGCAGAATGTAAGTGTGGGGGAGGTACGTGAGGCATTACGTAAAATGAAAGGGGGTAAAGCAGCTGGAACTGATGGGATCATGACAGAAATGTTAAAAGCAGGGGGGTATATAGTGTTGGAGTGGTTGGTACTTTTGTTTAATAAATGTATGAAAGAGGGAAGGTACTAGGATGGGGAGAGCATGTATAGTCCCTTTATATAAAGGAAAGGGGACAAAAGAGACTAAAATTATAGAGGAATAAGTTTACTGAGTATACCAGGAAAAGTATACGGTAGGGTTATAATTGAAATAATTAGAGGTAAGACAGAATGTAGGATTGCTGATGAGCAGGGAGGTTTCAGAGTGGGTAGGGGATGTGTAGATCAAGTGTTTACATTGAAGCATATATGTGAACAGTATTTAGATAAAGGTAGGGAAGTTTTTATTGCATTTGGATTTAGAAAAGGCATATGATAGAGTGGATAGAGGAGCAATTGGCAGATGTTGCAAGTATATGGAATAGGTGGTAAGTTATTAAATGCTGTAAAGAGTTTTTATGAGGATAGTGAGGCTCAGGTTAGGGTGTGTAGAAGAGAGGGAGACTACTTCCCGGTAAAAGTGGTCTTAGACAGGGATGTGTAATGTCACCATGGTTGTTTAATATATTTATAGATGGGGTTGTAAAGGAAGTAAATGCTAGGGTGTTCAGGAGAGGGGTGGATTAAATTTTGGGGAATCATATTCAAAATGGTAATTGACACAGTTACTTTTTGCTGATGATACTGTGCTTATGGAGATTCTAAAGAAAAATTGCAAAGGTTAGTGGATGAGTTTGGAATGTGTGTAAACGTAGAAAGTTGAAAGTGAACATAGAAAAGATAAGGTGATGAGGGTGTCAAATGATTTAGATAAAGAAAAATTGATAGGAGAGGAGGAGAGGAAGTATGGAGAAGTGAATGTTTTCAGATACTTGGGAGTTGACGTGACGGCGGATGGATTTATGAAGGATGAGGTTAATCATAGAATTGATGAGGGAAAAAAGGTGAGTGGTGCGTTGAGGTATATGTGGAGTCAAAAAACGTTATCTATGGAGGCAAAGAAGGGAATGTATGAAAGTATAGTAGTACCAACACTCTTATAAGGTGTGAAGCTTGGTGGTAAATGCAGCAGCGAGGAGATGGTTGGAGGCAGTGGAGATGTCCTGTTTAAGGGCAGTGTGTGATGTAAATATTATGCAGAAAATTCGGAGTGTGGAAATTAGGAAAAGGTGTGGAGTTAATAAAAGTATTAGTCAGAGGGCAGAAGAGGGGTTGTTGAGGTGGTTTGGTCATTTAGAGAGAATGGATCAAAGTAGAATGACATGGAAAGCATATAAATCTATAGGGGAAGGAAGGCGGGGTATAGGTCGTCCTCGAAAGGGTTGGAGAGAGGGGGTAAAGGAGGTTTTGTTGGCAAGGGGCTTGGACTTCCAGCAAGCGTGCGTGAGTGTGTTAGATAGGAGTGAATGGGAGACGAATGGTACTTGGGACCTAACGATCTGTTGGAGTGTGAGCAGGGTAATATTTAGTGAAGGGATTCAGGGAAACCGGTTATTTTCAAAATAGTCGGACTTTAGTCCTGGAAATTGGAAGTACAATGCCTGCACTTTAAAGGGGTGGTTTTTGGATATTGGCAGTTTGGAGGATATGTTTGTGTAAACTTTATACGTATATGCTTTTTAAACTGTTGTATTCTGAGCGCCTCTGCAAAAACAGTGATAAGTGCGAGTGGGGTGAAAGTGTTGAATGATGATAAAGTATTTTTTTGGGGGGATTTTCTTTTTTTTTTTTGGGGTCACCCTGCCTCGGGGGAGAGGGGCCGCTTTTGAAAAAAAAAAAAAAAAAAGGTTAATGAAAAAAAAACATTTAATTTAAAATTGATTTGCTTAATTATAAAACAAAAATACATACATATCATACAAAGTTGCCACAGGGCACTACTATCTTTGGGCCCCATCAATTGTAATTTTTAAGTTGTTGTAGACAAAAACATAAAACAAATGTTGTATAAATCCCATTTTAGAAGGATGGCCAGACAGCTGTCTTTTTCATCACTAAAATCAAACTTTTTTTAGATTAGAAAGAAAATGTTTGTTTATGAATATATACAAATTACAGGGTACGCTGTGGCTCGGGTAAAGATCTTTACGGCAGCTCTCGGAATCGGGGTCACCCAGAAGTAAACTGACGAAATGTAACTCAACTCTGTCAGAACTGGAAGAAAAAAAAGAATGCTGATGATAAACTCAAAAAAGCGTATCAAATCCACAACAGGATTTTTGTTTTTACTAATTTAAATCAAATCTAATTTGGGCCCAATGGCCTAGAGCAGCCAGACGTTGTAACTCCCAAAAAAAAAAACTTTTACTTTTTTGGGAAAAAAATTTGTATTTGATAGTTTTTTTTTTCCCGAATAAAAGAATAAATTTTGTCTTTAATGATGTTGTTTTTTTCACTTTAGGGGGGAAAGCTCTTCGACGCAAGGGAAAGGAAAATTTGTACCCTAAAGAAGACGAGCAATACTCCGAAAATGGCGATCTAGGGGATGCAAAGCACTCTGACAGTAAGTTTCTTACAAATATTAATTCTCCTGTTTCATAATGCATGTTTATTTTAGAGTATCAAAAACTTAGATAGACAAGGGTTGTTCAGAACACAGGCTAAAGAAAAGTTACTAATGAAGGTAGGGAAAATGCAACTGGTAAAAAGTAGGTATTCAGTCATAATGATGTATTACTTATGAAAAAGTAAAGTTTGGTATTATGATATTAAAAAAGTGGGAATTAAGTGCAGTAAATGTGCATTGATAATGTATTACTGTATGTATATAGTTTATGAAGCAGATTCTGGTGCATGTGATGGAATATAAAATTGTGTGAGATGTGAACATTTTCATAAATGAATGAATGTGTGTGCATGTGCGTGTGTGTGTGTGCACGCGTGCGTGTGTGTGTGCGCGTGCATTGTCGGTGCGTGCGCGTGCAAAAAAAGCAAGCATGAATGAAAAAAATATTAGCATGGGATAAAATTAGCTAGAGAAATGAATATTTATAGAGATAAATGACAATATATAATGGTTCACCTTGTATTTGACAATGTTTGAGTTTGTTATTAGATAAAGTGGGTTATAAATTTGTACTACATGTATTTTCATTCTAACAAGGGCTTTTGAAAATACAATATTTGAATCCTTTGCTTATACTGTAAGGTCTCTGTAAATATATGAGGCATTGTGCAGCAGAAAAAAATAATAATGCCAAATCCAAGCAATCTAGAAAATATGCAGGCATGAAGGAGATCAGAGCATTGAAGTTTAAATTACCATACTTTGTTATGGAGCTCTGAGGAAGACAGTGTCTGCACAATCCCACAGATAAAACATTAATGAATCGATTGGTTCTAACCTGGATTTTGGCTATAGTGGCACTTATTCTTTTCTGCTGCACAACACCTCCTATGTTAAGAGGTATTCAGTGTTAGTTAACAATATGCGCCTTAGGGTTTTATATGAGAGATATTTGGACTTGAGTCCAGGAGGTGGGAAGTATAATGCCTGCACTTTTAAGGAGGGGTTTGGGATATTGGCTGTTTGGAGTGACATCTAAACCGTTGTATCTGTGTTCCTCTGGTATGACAGTGATAGAGTGAATGATAGTGAAAGTTTCTTTTTCGGGTCACCCTTCCTCGGTGGGAGACGGCCAGCACGTTAAAAAAAAGTTGTTGCAAGTAAAGAGAGAGTTGTAATTATGGTGTTTAACAATTCATCAACCATCACTGAAAAATGCATATAACTAATAAGACAATATAGTTGATAGAGTAGTAGCCCATTTTTTATGTTTACCAACAGGATCGTGTACAGAAACTGAAAAATAGTGTTGGCAGAATAGAAATGGAAAACACCGATATGAAGGAGAAACTACGTGCATGTGAGCAGCGAGCTACACTCCTCGATGACTCGAAAGGAAGACTCGAATCAGATCTTGGTGCTACCAAAAAAGCTCTTAGTGAAAAACAGATGGAAATTGAGGTCAGTAAATATAGTTTACCTTTTTTTTTATGACTGGAGCAAAGCTATGCTTGTGTTGTCATGTCTAGTGGCTGATTTGTAGTACATATAATATTTTAAGTTTCCAATACTTGTAGCATATACTATATATACTGCCTCTTCTTGGATCTCAGGATCCAAGAAGAGTTTCAGGTCAGAATTAGTGTGTATGGAGGGTCTTATAGAAGTATCATGCACAGTAGTATGAATGAATGATCTCTTTGTTCCAAGAAGTTTAAAGGTTTTCTTGCTGGCAAGTTCTGGATTAATATTAAATTCACAAAGAAGTACTAAACCCATAAAGGTGATGCAGCACCTGAGAAATAAGAAGCAATCAAGTTTAATTACAGGAAGGTGAGAGTAGTAATAGTTTTTAATTTAATACTAATAAAGAGCGGATTTTATTATCTAATATATAAAAATATTTTTAATGGTGACTGAGAGCAAGGAAAAACTGGAGTGTGTTGTATGGAACATGACTATTTTTTCAGTTGTAACTAAATTGCATTTTCATGGATTCAATTTGCATATGGTTAAATTATTATATAGTTTAAAGACTATTTTACAAACATTTTTCCATATAAACTTCTATTGTTGGACCTGTTTTCCATTATGAGACTTTTTTCCAGTATATTGTTTTATTTACACACTTTTTTTTTCATCAAACTAGCCCTATCCCACCAAGGCAGGGTGGCCTAAAAGGAAAAACTAAAGTTTCTCTTTGTAACTTGAGTAATGTATACAGGAGAAGGGGTTACTAGCCCCTTGCTCCTATTTACACACTTGTTCACATTTATATGCTGCTGAACAAAATCTACTTAGTTTGTCTGCAAATGTAGTAATGCATTATACAGTATTTCACAGTGGTGGTTCTGCATATTGTGATATCACCTGTTTACTGTGATCTTATTGCACACAGTATTTCTTTAGGGTAATTATGTTGGGTGAGAGATCAGAACCTATATGTCAGCACAAATGCCCCATACATGAATTATGACTCAAATTATAACATGGTAGGGTTTAATTTATTAATTTTTTATGGCCATCTCCCATCTAGGTAGGGTAACCCAAAATAAAAAACACATTTTCTGTTGTTCATTCAGTCACTATTTTAAGAGAAGTGTGGCAGCATCACAGTTCAGATTACCTTCCAACCTGCAGCATCTGTACTCCCGCCCATCTCGCCTCCAGGACTCAAGTCCAGCTAACTGGTTTTCCTGAATCTCTTCATAAATGCTACTTTGCTCATACTTCAACATGTCCATTAAAAACCACTCGTCTCCATTAACGTGCTCACACAAGGGTGCTAGATGCTCAAGCACATAAAACTCAAAGCCTCATTTATCCCCTTCCTCCATCCATTCCTAGGATGACCCCCTATTTCTACCTTCCAACCCAGATTAATACATCCTGTTCATTCATCTGTCCCTCTCCATCCTCTTTATTAAATGCCCATGCAGACTTAGCAACCTCTCTTCACCCCTCTGTGTTATATTCTTAATGACCCCTTACTATCTTTTAATTCCCACACTTCAACCCCACTGGCAAATAGTCCTCCCCTCTGTCCTATATACCCTAACCTGACCCTCACTTTCTGCATAAAAATGCTTTTTTTTTTTTTTTTAGTTACCTACCACCTATTCCATACATTTGCAACATCTGCCACATGGCTTCCACAATGACAGTAATGTATCATATATTGAAATACTATGTATGTATTACTCTCCGGTGCATCTCCTTCTCAATAATTGAATACAGTGATTGTTGGAGTGGAGTAATAGCCTATTACTATTAGGCACTTGCTGATATTACTAAGTTACCAGATACTCAGTGATAATAGAAATTTTTTTCTTTCAGCTTTATACATGCAAGCAATCTTTCTGTTTTGCATCTGAAGGAATAAAAAGTTAAATGTAAGATTCAGTAAATGCATTTTCATTTGTGCTATTATGTTGACATTCTTGAATTGTTCGAATTGGAATCCACTCTTTTTCTTAATGCATTTATATTAAAAATTATTCACATGGCTACTCACTATAATGCTAATGCCAACAGAATCTAGTCGTCACCCGGGAGAATTACAACCGAACTATTAGAAGTCTTGAAGATCAAAACTCTTCACTCAAGGGCAAAGTAGAGGACCTGAAGACCCGCATGGCTGCCATCTCTAATTCTGAATCCGAACTGAAGGACAAGCTGTCTTCCATTAATCGCTCGCTGAAGGAGACAGTGTCGTCATCCAGCAGCATGCAAGAAGAACTCTCCAGGGTCTGTTATTTTTACCTCATCTTTCCACAATCGCAAAAATACATAGATTCAAATCCAAATCTTTGTTAGAGCAGTGTAGGCATAGGTGTAATACGTTGGGGTATATAAATGATAAAATATGTTTACGGAGCCCGTAAGTTTACTTAGTGTTTCAGGCAAAATTTAATCATTAATGAGGTTATTGTAAAATTTCTCAACACAGTTTATGCAACACTTCAAGACAGGAATATTGTATTACATCATGTCTGTTTTACAGCCCCAGAATCTTGTCTTTGTTTTACAGTCCTACTATCTTGTTGTTTTACAGTCCCACTATCTCGTCGTTGATTAACAGTCCCACTATCTTGTCTTTGTTTTGCAGTGCCACTATCTTTGCTTTATAGTTCCACCATCCCACCATCTTGTCTTTGCTTTACAGTCCCAGAATCTCATGTAATATTTTTTTGCAGTCTCAGAATCTTTTGTCTCGAAGTGAAGCAGAAAGACGTCAGTTGGATGAGAGAGTGGCTGACTTGCAGAGTGCAATGTCAGAACTCAAACGACAAAAGGAACAACTTTCAGAGTCCAAAAATAAAGTTCAGCAAGATCTTTCTAATGCTGAGTTAAGGAATGCTGAGTTAGAGATGACTATGAAGTCTCTTAGAGGGGTGAGTAAATCTGTTACATGTGCAACATCTGGGTACAACATATCTTTATTCTGTAGATGTTTGGCCAATCAGTGGCTTTATCAATACAATAAAGACTGGAGAGGTGGATGATGAGGTCACCAGTCCCTCAGTCTAGGAGCAGGTGTTCAGTACTGTAGTCTTGTCGGTATTATATACCATTGATTTTTTATTTATTATCACACTGGCCGATTCCCACCAAGGCAGGGTGGCCCGAAAAGAAAAACTTTCACCATCATTCACTCCATCACTGTCTTGCCAGAAGGGTGCTTTACACTACAGTTTTTAAACTGCATATATACCATATACCATATGATATACAAATCTATTGTACTCAATCTTCTGTTGCATAAGGTGGTCCCAAACCTGTACACATCCCAAAACACAAACACCTACACTTACAAATATGACCTTTGGAAACTAGTTCAATTTTTTCAACTGCATGGTTCACTATAAAAGCATGGTGCACCATGAGAGAGACCTGTTATGGCAGTTGCAGTAACAGTAGGGTAATTTGAAAATTAAATACAGTAATTACCTATTTGAGTTTGGTGCAGAATTCAAGTTACTGCATGTGGAATTAGTTAAAGATAAAACTTTTGTTGATATGCCACCCTAAAGAAATTGGCATAGGAGAGGGTGAGCTTGTTTACTAAAAATGTATCTTCCTAAGAGTCTTCAGAATAAAAGTTAATGTGCGTTAATTTTCCAGAGCCTTGGTGAGCGATCATCAACGACAGATGAGCTTATCTCAAAGGTAACCCGTCTAGAGCAAGAGAAGTCTGAACTGCGCTCTCAACTTGCAGATCTGGAGGTGGGTTGTATCCAGATTTGAACTTTGTTAGTATTATATATGCTTCACATGCCGTTATTTGTTTTTCTCATTATTATGAACTATATATTGTATCAAGTTATTGAGCCTGAATAAGTGTGTTGCATAAAAGCAAGGAATCAGCCTAACATCTATATAGTACTACTTCACAAAGATAGGCAGTGTCCTATGTCATAAGTGCTATAGCACTGGTTTCTAATAAGTAGTTTTCAAGTTTTTTAAATATTATTGTGTAAGGTACTTTATCTTTATTCATATTATAAAAGTTTATCAGCTATAGCCCAACAAAATCAGTCATTATCACTTATTTCAGTTGGGTTCTTTACCTAGTATGTGACCCACAACACCTAACTCCTAAGTACTTACAATTACTATTAGATAAGCATGAGTATTGTAGTTGAGATTTTTCCCTCTCACTCCATGCCCAGAAATTGAATTGAGAGTTCCTCAGGCTGTTAGACAAATGGTCTCCCATTTCCTGTTTTTAATGGGGTGGATCAGACTCAAAGCAGTCTCTTGACTTGTCTATGCTTTCTTTATGTTACATAAAGTGAATTGAAGAAATCATAATGTTTCATGTCAGAATTCTGTGTTCTACCTGTAAAACGAGTTTATCATAGGATTCATGTACAGTCAAACATTGTTAATCCAGTACTCTATATACCAGTTTTCTTTTATCATGTTTGGGGAGGCTTGTGTATCTTTTCTAACCCGGCAGTGTGCCCTCGGGTATGCAGAGTAGATAGGGTCATTCCTGGTGCTTTGAATGCCAGCAAGGGGCTAGGCCAATAGCTGTTACTCCACTGTATAAGGTGTCTGGCTATAGGTCAGAATAGTGTCAGAGAACATAGCAAAAGGTAAATTTAATTTCTCTTTGACAAATACATGCTGAGAGATAATCAGCTGATTCTCTTCCTGATTACCCCAGTATTCTCAGAGATTACATTGAATGACAGACATTGTAAGTTATTGAATGTCACTGGTAAAATATACAGTACCAACAAGTATGTGAATAAGACATACCTGTGTCAATTCACATACATTAAAAGCTTATGAAAATTAAAGAAAAATGACATCCAAAGATAAGGCTCTTAATAAAGAATCAGTGAAGTCGAGAAACAGAATGTTATGCTGGTGGGTTATGTCCTAATACATCAACTTCCAAACATAACACAAATTGATGAGTGACATGTGGAACATTAAGTATCTACTGTCTCCAGGATTGTAATTCATCTCTATTCAACAGTTGAAGTCTGCAGAGCAGGCAAAATGTTACATTCTTAAAGATACCTAGTGTTGTATATGTGCCTTACTTATCATCTTGTTGGTATTTTATACCATTTATAATAAAACACAAATCAATACTAGTGGTTTACAATTAACTACTTGGTGAAGTTTTAAGACATAATTTACATTACCAAGCAGCTCAGTTTAATGACAATATTTTAAGTGTGTATGGCACCCCTCAAGGGAGGTTCCTTGATGCTGGTGAGGGGCTCTTGATCTAGGGAATTGCATCTGTGTTCCAGTTCTCTGAATTGAGCCTGAATGCCTTCCATAATCCCCCCCTCCCCCACAGGTGCTGTATATTCCTTACAGGTTCAGTGCTCCCCCATGATAATAATAATATATGTGCGTGGCAACAGTTCTGCACAAGGCAAGCTGTTGGTGCTTATTAGATACTTCCATCAGAGTTGGAATTTAACAGGAAAATTGTCCAGAATTTATTTTCCCCAAACAACCATATTTTATTTACTGTAAATTTTCCTCATTCATGTTCTTATTTTAACATATCCCTGTTGCTAAGCTGAGGATGATTCTACTGTATGATACCACATTAAGTCTTTATTTAGTTATTATATAATTTTTGTATTTTAACCCTTAAACTGTCCAAACATAGATCTACGTTTGCTCACGTAACGCTCCAAACGTAGATGTACGTTTTTTTTTTTTTTACATTCTTTCTTATGGAGGAAATCAAGGGGGGAGCACTACATGCGCAAACGTAGATCTATGTATGGACAGTTAGAGGGTTAATAATTATTTATGTAATGAGAAGTCTACTAATAAATTATCAAAATTATAGTCAATATATAAGTTTCAAAGGGCCATCTGTAAACAGAATTGGGTCTAGTAGTTGAGTATATTATTTGGTCAACAGTACCTATGGTTTATTGCAGTCAGTACTCTTGATATATTATAACATTGATATAAGTTAATTTTTTTTATTATTCTTAAGATATAAAGTACACATACATGTTTTATTTATCTCTTTTGTTTGTAAAATTAATTTTAAATTCTTTACCTTGCTTTTTCTGTCGTAGAATTTTCTTTATCCATATCTGTATTTGTTGATAAATACACCCATAAACTTAAGTACACATATAGATAAAAATAATCTTTAGTTCTTAGTTGCTAGTACAGTTTGGAGGAATTCCGTTCTTCTCTTGTATTCACATTGCTTCTTCAGTAGCAATAGAATGTAATGTATTGCTTTCTTTCCAGATTCTTTTCTAAATCATACTTGCTATCTCACAATCATGTAAGAAATCATTGGGATATCAGATTACTTATTTTTAAACAGTAGTTTTTTAATGATAGTGTCCCTGTCAAATTCATTTTTCTTTTGAGATATACAAATTAACTCATTGTTTCTGATTTATAAGTTTCATTAAGGAGCTCTCGTAAGGGAAGCAGTCATAGCATAGATGCCTCCAGGTCATTTTAAGTTACATCCCGAACATGCTCTTTTGTACTCTCGAGATTTTTTAAATATGTATTCCTTACCCTTCCTCTTGAGATTCTGCATTTTCCTCTCTTCCTCCTGATCATTTTCCCTCATTTGAACACTTATCATACTTTTTTCTTTTTATTAACACATCGGGCATTTCCCACCAAGGCAGGGTGGCCCAAAAAAGAAAAGCTTCCATCATTGTCTTGCCAGAGGCATGCTTACACTGCAGTTATAAAACTGCAACATTAACACCCTCCTTCATAGTGCTGGAACTGTACTTCCCATCTCCAGGAATCAAGTCCGGCCTGCTGGTTTCCCTGAATCCCTTCATAAATGTTACCTTGCTTACACTCCAACAGCATGTCAAGTCCTAAAATCCACGCACACTTGCTGGAAATCCAAACCCCTTGCACATAAAACCTCCTTTACCCCCTCCCTCCAACCTTTCCTAGGCTGACCCCTACCCTGCCTTATCTCCACTACAGATTTATACACTCTCAAAGTCTTTCTATTTTGTTCCACCCTCTACATGTCCAAACCATCTCAATAACCCCTCCTCATCCCTCCGGATAATAGTTTTGGTAATCCTGCACCTCCTCCTAATCTCCAAACTACTAATTCTCTGCATTATATTCACACCATACATTGCCTTCAGACATGACATCTCCACTGCCTCCAGCCTTCTTGTTGCAACATTCACTACCCATGCCTCACACACCCATACAAGAGTGTTGGTATAACTATACTCTCATACATTCTCCTCTTTGCTTTCATCCTCTCACCTAACATTCTTCTGGCCATTTTCTTTTAGTTGAACACTTGTTAATCATCCTCTCACCTAACATTCTCTTCACACAGCCAAACTTAACTAAATGACTCCTACTCTTATGGTCCTACATATTATCTTAGGCCTCCTAAACCCACTCAGTATATGAGATATAAAGAGAATTTCATTATATCATGTAAGTAACAAATTGTATAAAAAGTATTGGGAATCAAACAGGCAAATTTGCATTTGAAAGTCACAATCTTGAAATAGTTCTGTGGGTATCGTTTAACCAGCATTCAACCTATTTTTTATGTAGAACTCCCAGAACATAGTTGTCATTGATACAATATCAAATCACTTGGCCATGAAATAATTTCAACGTATCACAAAAATTAACAAATTCTGTCAGTACAGGTCCTCCCTCACAAATCTGGCATCATTGGGACCTTTAGTGTGCTAGATTGCTGAGTTTGCCAGATTACAGAGTGGTTATGTTAGAATACACTTAATAACATTAACCAACTTGATTTGCACAAAGTTCATTGAACATCGGCAAAAATCTAACATTTCCGCTACTTTGAGCTCAATTTCAAGGTACTTTTCGTCATGAAAGCAATCAAAATCATGTCTGTTTCTGTAATATATCTTCCATTCTATCAAATGAGACCAAAAAAACCGAGAATACAACCATAAAAACCATACGAAAATATACCGCAAAGAGGCGGCTAATGGCTGAGAAGTGAACTCCCTTATTTATTGTGTGTGTGTGCGCACATATGTACGTTAAGAAGCATCTTTTCATCATACATTGCCCAAGTTCAATGAGATAGCCCAACAAACAACTGAGAAAAAAATATTTATCAAAAATATACTTGAATAAACTTACTTATATTCTGTCGACTAAGTACAAGAAACCACCCATTCCCTTATTTCAACTACCCAATAAAGTGGTCAGAAATTGGCAATTTGGCCAATTTCACACAAATTTCAGCAGATGCCAGTTTCAAAATAGGGTCCAGAATAAACAATGCAGACATTCCTGGCACTAAAATAACATTTTCTCTGTTCATTAGTTACGGCTACAGGCCCCTCTTATATTACTCTTGCTTACCATTTGGAATTTTTTTTCACACAAAAAATAGAAGATTTACTGTTACGCAGACTACTGCATTATTGTAATAATTGTATAAATAATGTCAACCCATTCTTGACTGCATATTAGAATTTGGACTACTCCCTGCATTGCTAAAGACTAGAACATTTCGGCTACTGTGAGCGCAATTTCAAGGTACTTTTCATCATGAAAGTAATCAAAATCATATCTGTTTCTGTAATATATCTTCCATTCTCTCAAATGAGACCAAAAAAAAAAACGAGAATATAACCATAAAAACCATACAAAAATATACCGCTAAGTGGCTGCTAATGGCTGAGAAGTGAACTCCACTATTTATGGTCTGATTTCTTTCATTTTTGGTGTACGTTAAGAAGTATCTTTCCATCATACATTGCCCAAGTTTCAATAATAAGATAGCCCAACAAACAATTGAGAAAATAATAATAATAATGTCTTTATTCACTACACATACATGGACATGGTATACAGGCCTAGCTGACATCAGTGACATACTACTATATAGAAAGCCCCTTGTTATGCTGAGCATTTCAGACAAATTAGGTCAGTGTCCCAGGATAACGCCCACACCAGTCCACTAATACCCAGGTACCCATTTACTGATGGGTGAACATAGACAACAGATGGAAAGTAACATGCCCAATGTTTCTACCCTGGCTGGAAATCAAAAATTTACCAAAAATCATATATGGCTAGCCTAAGCCATGTACTAGAAATAAGCCACGTTGTCTGACTTTTTTTGGGTTATCCTAGGTTCTCTACACATATGCTTGTGTGATAATCTATGTAGAGAAAATAGCTTTTTTGTTGCAGTTTTATGGTGCAGTACGAGCGTATATCACAGTTAGCCATGTGCTAAACTGCGTTTTCTCTAATATAAGCCCCAAGACAGGGTACTTGTATCCCATGTCCTTTTCATACCTCCATCGAACTGCTCGGTATTATGCCAAATATTATTCATTCTGGAGTATTTAACATGTTTTTGTTATTTATATTGTTTATTATGTCATATTAGATCAATTGTGATAGGCAAATAAGCTGTAGTGTTGATATTAGCGTAATAATACAGCATATTCCCCTGCATCACAAGACTGAGCTCATGGCAACTGACAGTGGCTTCAAAGCTACCTTATCTTTAATGGACAATGTACTGTGTATGTGCTTTACACATTGAGAAGCATTTCTTTTATTCATTGGAACTATGGCTAGGGCTAAAAGTAAGCAGGTTATAGCAATAAATGGAGAAAAAGAAATTTGAATGACTTATGCAGCAAGTAGCACCACCAAACAGTAACAGCAGGTTGGTGTGGCAACCCTGGAAATTTGAAATTATGCTAGCCGAAATTAGTGCCGAATAACTGAAGGAACTGAATAACTGATTGCCGGATTTGTGATGGTGGACCTGTAGTACTGGGGACTGACTTAACGACAGTCTGTTTAAAAGAAAGCTCTTGGTAGCCTCACCTGTTGCTCATCTAAGTTTCACATAGAGTTCCCAACACTACGTGTACTTTGTGGATGTAGAATCAGATAAGTTTTCCATCATTCTTGTCCATGACCCTGATATAAGAATTTCAGCACAATACTTGCAAAATGATATTTGGGTTTGTTGAATGTGACTCTTAATACGGTACAATAGGATCATGTATGAACACAACCAGGATTGTTCTGCTCTGCAAGGATGTAGGTCTTTGTTCAGCACCTGTCAGTAGAAATTCTCTGCTGTCTCAGCCTGTCCATAATTAATATTTTTTTTTTTTCCGACAAACTGGCTGTATCCCACCAAAGCAGGGTGACCTAAAAAGAAAAACAAAAGTTTCTCTTTTTAAATTTAGTAATTTATACAAGAGAAGGGGTTACTAGCTCCTTGCTCCGGCATTTTAGTTGCCACTTACGACATGCATGGCTTATGGAGGAAAATTTTTTTTCCGCATTTAAAAGAATTATGAAGAATAAAAAGGCACAGTACCATGACTGATATTGTGCTGGTTTTCTTGTGCAGTAGGTTACCATGTAAAGATGCTACAGTACCATAAAATGATTGCCTTCCAGTTACAGCAGCTTTCTCCAGTTTAAGGTACTGTTTGGTAGGATTCCTAAAGCATTTCATCAACTAGTTTGCAGAATTTTACATTCTGGAGAACTGTTTTGTTGTTATTTCCTGCCTAGGTAGGATGACCCAAAGAGGTAAATGTGTTCACTATTATTCATTAAATAGCTGTAAAAATTTCCTTCTTTTTATTGATTAAAAGAAAGGGTTGCTAGACGCCTGGCATTTTAGACTGGCATGTCTTATGGAGGATTCTAATCTACTTTCCCATGAAATTTTAATAGAACTGCTGCAAGTAAAAAGAACTTGTAAAAAAATAGAAAAAACTCAGATGAGTGTATATTTATACTCACATGGATACATATTCACATACAAAGCATATACTGGATGTAGATAGTGGTGGGAGGATTTACATAAGACAAAAAGAAAAGATCAGCAATCCTGCCGTGTTTATGACATTCAACAGGTTTCCATTTCACACATGTGATAGGACAGTAGTATCTTCCTGTATGGTTGCTATCCACCAGCTTACTACCTTTGTAGAATAAATTGTATATGGACAAAATCCTTAAGTCTACTACAATTGCATAATGACCCATGTGGGATGTAGGTTTGTAATGAAAGAGAGAGAGAGGATAAAGGAGGAAAGGAAAAGGGAAGGAGGAAGTAGTAGTGGTTTTCTACCAGTACTTTTGAGTTTGTTTGGGAGCATAGATTGCAGTGTGACCAGGATGTTATGCTTCAAGTCTATTTTGATGCTGAATCACAAAAAAACCCTTAGTCAGAGTATCAGCATGATATTTATCCCTGAATCACCTCTTCTATATTTCATGGCTGAATTTTTTGCTTAAAAGCCCTCTTTATAAATTTACTATAATGGACTGGGTGTCAATATTTTGTCCCATCTTGGGAGGTGCTGGCACTACCCACCAGCTTCCTCACTCACTTCTTCATCAACAGAGGAAGTTGGCCATAAGTGAAGCTGAAAAAAAGGACATTGAAAAGGCAGAATTTAGACTTGAGAAGGACAGAACAGACCTTAAGAAGATTTTAAATAAGGTAGGATTGCTTTGCTTGATCATAGATAAAATGGCTTATTTTTAATCTCTCTAAGTTTTTGTTTGATACAGTAGCTTACATACAGGCTTTTTCTGTAGATTTTTGGCATACAGAACTTTACTTAAAATTAACTTACATATCTTTACAAACACTTAGATTTTTGGTGTTTTTTCCTAGAATTCTTTTAATCGTAATGTGAGATTTCAGTTTTCTTAATGAATAATAATAATACTAATATTAATAATAATACTAATAATACCTTGCATGTTTCATGTAACCAGTATGAGCATGATCGTCAGCGGCCAACCTCTGAACAGCCTGTGCTAGATTCCAATATTAGTGCTCTTCGCATTGAGAATATGGAGTTACGACGGAAGATTGATGACCTGGAGACTGTGAAGACGAGATGCAACAGAAACACCTGAAGGAGGTAAGTAGAGAACACCTCAGTTGGACATCCAGGTGGAATTTTTTTTATTATTAAGGCATGTGTGAGTGTGTTAGGAATAAGTGGAGGCAGATGGTTTTTGGGACCTGATGAGCTGTTAAAGTGTGAGCAAAGTAACATTTGTGAAGAGGTTCAGGGAAATTGGTTAGCCAGACTTGAGTCCTGGAGGTGGGAAGTACTATGCCTACATTCTAAGGAAGAGGTAGGGATATTTGCTGTTTGGAGGGACATCTAAACTGTCATATCTGCTCACCTCTGGCAAGACAGTGTGAGTGATGATGAAAGTATTTCCTCTTTGGGTCACCCTACTTTGGTGGGAGACGGCCAGTGTCGTAAAAAAAAATACATCTTAGCATGCACATAGAAATAAATATTACTATGTATTCTCAAATCCTCTTTCTAAATTATAAGTCTTAGATTGAGTCCTTCTTTTACCTGGGTGTAATAGAAAGCCATACATACAGTATGTGTAATTTTAAATTAAGTAACAAGAAAATGTGCTATAAACAAGTGCTCTTAACAAGCATTTAAATAAATGGTTAATAAACATGAATGGTTTAAATCAGTACTGTAACATGAATAATTTTGTTTCCAAGCATTTATGTAATATGGTCTTTCTGTGTTGTGTGTCAGCCTTTATATTGTTAAGGATAGGTGGATCTGTGTTTGAGATGACAGTTGTAGTTTCATCTGCAAATAGTACTTGTTAAAGCTGCTGGGGTGAATTTTGTAGGTCATTGATATAAAGTAGGAACAGTAGCAAGCCCAAGATGCTACCTTGTGGTACCTCAATACTGATGGGTAATTATTGAGGATATATCATTTGTGGTCATAGGTTTATGTCCATCACTAACATAAGATTTGCAAGAGAGAGTATGTCCTCTGAGTCTATATAGTCCTCTAGTTTGGTAACAAGGGTAATGGTATCAACACTACCATATGCTTTTTGTATACCAGTAAACAGGTTTAACATATACTCATTTTTTCAGGTAATGTGTATATTGTTAAGCATTTGTGTTGTGATGGTGTTTGTAATTTTTGGGGTGGTTGAAACCAAACTGACATGGGCTTAATATGCTGTTTAAATTCCAAGATCACATTTGCTTGTGTACCATTTTCTCAAAAAGATTTATAATATTGGTTAAGTGTTTGGAAATATTTTTGTTTCAAGAGAGCTCTTGAAGTGTTGAAATAAATGATGCTGACACTTGAGCAGCTTTATTATTTTTATGAGGGTATTTCATTTGGATTGTCTAAAAACTGCTAACAAAGTCGTACTCACCTCAATTAGGCGAGTACAAATTTGTTAGCAGTTTTTGTTATTGGATTCAGAATGAGTGATTGTAGATGAATACAGTCTAGTTATGGTAATTGTCTGCAAGGTAATTCTGTGGTGGGAGCCCCAGGTGGCTGCTTTATGCTTCAGTCATACAAATGCTCAACGCTGACTCCTGTAAGGTTCATCATGTGCCTTGCACTTGTATGGAGCCCTTTCAGAACTGGTGACAAACAGTGCAGAGCCAACAAGTAGAGAAAAAAAGACAAAATTGCAGAAAAGAATTTTATTCAGACATCTTGCCTGTGGAACAGGCTTCTTCAGTCACTTTACAACTTTGCAGTGAAATATGCTTGTTATTTTGACATGATTTTTTTCTCACACAAATGCTTGTCATTTGTCACTGACTAAAGAAGCTTGTTCCACAGGTAAAATGTCTCAGTAAAGTACACTTCTGTAATTTTTTTTTTTTTTTTTTTTTCTTTTTTTTTTTCTTTTTTCCTTTAACTGAATTGCTCACCGTTAGTTGTGTGCTTGTTATGTCTTTAGTTGTAATCCTTGTGTTGTAATGTTGGTGCCAGTTGCATTTTAATGGGTACATCTTCTGGACATAACACTCGAGCAGGTGCAAGGGAGGCCTTGGATTAAGTATAAAGTAAGTGATGGATTGTACTGGGGCTCAATGAGGTAAGCACCAAGTGAATGAAATATGTTCTAAGTGGGCACTTACTCGAGGCCCCCTTTACACAGAAGTGTGTTTTTCAAATCAAATCATACTATTATTGAGCTTCATTCCAGAATTAATATAATTGGTTTAAGTAATGATTTAATGATCTTTATAATTAGAAGGGAAAGGTAATGGTCTGTTATCTTTGGTAATTGTTTGAGTTTTGTGGGGCTATTATATTCATCCATATTAACCCAATGATAAAGCAGTTATCTCTGTAATGGATGTGAGCTTGACAATGCAAATTATTTTAAAGAGATTTATACATGTTATTTTGGAAAATTGCAGCTTTGCAATTATTTGATTGACTGAGATTTATATTAAAATCTGTAGGAATTATTGGGTAATTTTCTTTACAATGTTGTGTATGATAAAGTTTCCTAGATTGTTAATAAAGTTTGGTTAGTTTATAAAATTCTCTGTATTACTCCATTTGTTATTAGGGTCTTGGATGTACACGGTGTGGATATGCAATCAAGCCTCATTATACTTTTCTATGTTTTCATGCTTACCATGAAAGAATTGATCGCTTGCTGATCATTTCAGTGATGTTCCAGGAGCTGAAACATTAGTGTGCCCTTCAGGTAAAAACAGAACAAAAGCATTGCTGGTGGAGTATGCTGCTTTGTGTTTCATGAATGACAAGGGTCACAAAGGGCTACTGAAATCTTAATTCATTTTCATAATTAATGAACAAAAATTACAATACCGTAGCTGAAACAATTCGCAAATAACCCACACTTACTAGAGGAAATTTTGCATGGCATTTTGATCCATCCTGGACCAATATGTATGCACAACTTTCGTATTGTAGTATACATTGAAAACGCTCGTTATTCTGCCTAATGACTTTACACAGATGTTCGTTTTTTATCTTGTAGACTCTTGATATGAGTAGTGATCATCGTCGAGAGCGGCAAGTCGACAGCGAAAAGATTCGCCGACTCACTAATCAGCTGGAGGCTCTACGACAAGAGAAGGAGCGATGTGAGCTAAGACTCCACTCACTTGAGCAACAGGTTAATCAAAGATGAAATTTGTAATATCAAAGTTAATGTCTATTCTAGTGGAAGAGATAAAACAATAATTACTATAATACCTTTATTTATAAATAATACATTCTTCTTTTGCACACAGAAAAGATCCATAAAGATTATTGTTAAATATTCTGCTGGTACATAGATCATATTGAATTACATAATTATAAGAGGAGGTAGCAGTGCTACAAATATTGAAAATTTAAAAAATGTATATTAATTACTGAAGGCAGGACACCACAGGCATAGCTCTGTAACTACAGGTAATTCCAAATCCCATAGCTAACTACACGTTCTTTTTCTACCTCTACTTTTGGACTTCGCCTATCCTCTTACTATCCCTGTGCAATTATTTTTATCCTTTGTAGTTTGGTATCTGTATGTTAAGTACATTAATTTTTCATGATGTCTTAAGAGTTTGTACTCTGATAGCCATTCTACTTTTTTTTATAACATGCTTTAGTTTACCATACCTGATTAAACTTTACCTTACTTAATGGCTTGCTTTGTTTTGTTAGTTTTAGGCAAATATCCATAACCATACAATTGCATGAATACATATATGACTGTGTGTGTGTGTTAATGAATACCTGCATATTTTTTTTCATTGTTTATAGTCATATTATTATAATCAAAAAGAAGCGCTAAGCCACAAGGGCTATACAGCGCTACAGGATAGGGAAGGAAGCGAGGGTATTGGATGGCAGAAGGGAGGAGGGATGATCAGTAGGTTACAGAAAACAGCGGGGCAGGGGATAGTGCGGGGGTAGAGGGTAGAAAGGGCTGAAGGTATCAGAATTTGTGAAGTAAGTCAGTTGTTGTCAAAAAGTCAATGAGAGAGTCCGGATGAAAGGTGGGTCCATCAGCGAGAAGGGAAGGTAAAGAGAGAGCAGCAGAGCGAAGACGACGACGGAGGTAAATTCTGCGTGCTCGTTAATAAAGTGGGCAGTCCAACAGAATGTGGCTGACTGATAATGGAGCTTGGCAATTCTCACAGAGAGGAGCAGGGCGCCTCTCCATGAGATATCCATGAGTAAGACGAGTATGGCCAATGCGAAGACGGGAGAGTGTAGTCTCCCAACCTCGACACTGGTGATAAGAAGACGGCCAGTAACCTATACTCGGTTTAATAGTTTGAAGTTTGTTGCCGACCATAGTAGACCAACGTTGTTGCCAACGGGTGTGAAGGTGGGAAGATATTGCAGCAAAATAGTCCGTAAATGGAATACCTCTACATGAAACTGGTAGCTCATGTACTGCTGACTGAGCAGCAGTGTCTGCCTGTTCATTGCCCTGTACGTCAACATGACCAGGGACCCAACAAAAAACAATATCTTTATGCTTGGTAAAGATGCGGCGTAGCCAAAGTTGGATACGGAGGACTAAGGGGTGAGGTGTATCAAATTTCTGTATAGCCTGTAAAGCACTAAGGGAGTCTGAGACAACCACAAATGATGACACAGGCATAGATGCAATACGGGTAAGTGCTGCAAGGATGACATACAATTCAGCAGTAAAAATACTAGCCGAAGATAGTAAATGCCCTCGTACGATGCTGTCCGGAAACACTGCTGCGAATCCTACGCCGTCAGAAGACTTAGAGCCATCTGTGTACACAGCAATGGCATGAGAATGAGAGTGGTCAAGAAAAAGAGAGCGGGAAGCGACCGTAGACAGTTGGGCTTTCGAGCAAGGGAGAGAGAAAGAACAGACTCGAACAGCTGGAACTTCCCAGGGGGGTAGGGAAAAGTGAGATGCTACATGAACATAAAGGTGGTAATTGAAAAGAAGACGAGCGAATGAAGGCGAAGAGAGAAGGGACGGAGAACAAATAAAGAATGTCTACTAATATCAGTGACCATTCTATAAATGGAAGGATTGTGGAGATCATGAGAGCGTACATAGTAGCGAAGGCAATGGGCATCATGACGATCGGATAAGGATGGAACGTTCGCTTCTGCATAGAGGCTCTCGACAGGGGAAGAGCGAAAAGCACCAAGGCATAAACGTAATCCTTGGTGATGAATGGGGTTAAGGCTAGAGAGAGTAGCAGGAGATGCCGCTGAATAGATCTGGTCACCATAATCAAGTTTCGATAAAATAAGGGTGGAACGTAGGCGAAGGAGGGTTCGACGATCAGCTCCCCATGAAAGATGAGCAAGGGTTTTAAGAAGGTTCAGCCGGCTGTGACAAGTTGCCTTCAGAGAGGTAATGTGAGGTTTCCAGGATAACCTACGATCAAAGAGGAGGCCCAGAAACTTGACTGTATCACGTTCAGGGATACGGGAGCCATAGAGGTACAAAGGATGATCAGAGATGACAGAGCGTCTAGTGGAAGTAATTTGGTGGGTTTTAGTGCTGGAAAATTTAAACCCATGTGTGGTGGCCCAATTGGAAACACGGTCGACTGCATGCTGGAGAGAAACTGTAATGAGGTGACAGTCAGCGCCTGCACAGGCAATAGCGAAGTCATCAACATAGTGTTGACCAAATATTTGATGGAAGACTAGAGGCCAAATCGTTAATAGCAAGGAGAAAAAGTGTTGTGCTCAGAACACCTCCCTGGGGGACACCTTCAGCTTGGATAAAGTCCGGGGAGAGCACATTATTAACCCTTTGACTGTCGCAACCCCCAATCCTGAGGTGTCTCCTGGTGTCGCAAAATTTAAAAAAAAAAAAATTATTTTTTCTTATGAAATGATAGAGAATCTTTTCCCGATTGTAATGACACCAAAAAAACGAAATTTGATGGAAAACTGACGGAATTATGCTCTCGCGAAGTTAGCGACCTCGGCGCTGTTTACAAATCGGCGATTTCGTCCACTTTGAGCCCTATTTTCGGCTAATTCCATTGTTCCAGTCGCCCAAACTCATAGCTATTTCTTTAGAACTTCATTTTTTCTATCGATTGAGTACAAGAAACTGCCCATTTACTGATTTCAACTACCTAATAATGTGGTCAGAAATTTGCAATTTGGCCAATTTCACGAAAACTAAAAAATATGACAATTTCAAAATAATGTCCAGAATGAACAATGCAGACATTCCAGGCTCTAAAATAACGTTTTCTTTGTCATCAGTCACGTCTCCAGGCCCCTCTGATATTACTCTTGCTTTCTATTTTGAATTTTTATTCAAACAAAAAAAAATTAGACTTACTATTATGCAGACTACTGCAATGCTGTAATAACTGTATAAATAACATCAACCCATTCATGACTGCATATTAGAATGGCTAGTTAGACATTTATTGGACAATGGCATCATTTGTTTACTTTTGAACATTGGCAAAAATCAAACATTTCCCCTACTTTGAGCTCCATTTCTAGGTTCTTTTTATAGTAAAATCAATCAAAATCATCTCTATTTCTGTAATATGTTTTCCACTCTATCAAATGAGACCAAGAAAACGAGAATACAACCATAAATACTATACAAAAATAGACCACAAAGTCGGCATTTTAATTAAAAAAAACGGTCTGAGTTTTTTTTTTCTCATTATGCACTGCGTGCTCCAGGATTTTTTTTATATAGTGCACACTGACCACACAGACCCATTCTCTCACATGTGGGCCTACCAGCTTTCTCCTGCTTGATTTGAAGCCGCTTGAATTTATGAGTATATATACGTCAAACACGGCACCTCGTAAAACGTATATATACGGCCGCGACAGTCAAAGGCTTAACCCGAACACGGAAATGCCTGTCAGTTAAAAAGTTCTTAAGGAAGGATGGTAGATTGCCTCGAAGGCCTAAGGAGTGGGCTTGGGCTAAAATATTATACCTCCAAGTTGTGTCATATGCCTTCTCAAGGTCAAAAAATATGGCAATAACCGAGTGGTTATTAGCAAAGGCATTATGAACATACGTATCCAAGCGTAGGAAGGGGTCTATGGTAGAACGTCCCTTACGAAAGCCATATTGACGAGTGGAGAGACTGTTGTGTGTCTCTAAATATCACACTAAACGTCTATTTACTAGGCGTTCCATCACTTTGCAAACTGCACTGGTAAGAGCAATGGGACGATAGTGGGAGGCTTCATGTCCCGTAGTGCCTGGTTTGCGGAAAGGGAGAACAATGGTGGATTTCCACAGCTGTGGAAGAACTCCTTGTGACCAAATAACATTGTAAAGGCATAATAGGACTGCAAGGGCTGACTGATGTAAATGTTGTAGCATACGAATATGAATGTCGTCGGGCCCAGCTGCCGATGATCGGCAAGCTGAGAGTGTTTGCCTCCAGTTCTTGAAGTTGTAAAAGGCACATTATACTGTTCTTCTCTGAGAGAAGAAAAGTCCAAGGGTGCTAACTCTCTGCAGACTTTGAGGAAAGAAATGAGGGGCATAGATGGAGTCCCTGAGAAATACAGACCAGATGATTGCCAATTTCATTGGCAACATCTAGTGGGTTTGCTATATCAACACCGGCAACCCGTAGAACAGGAGCCGGGTCAGGAGAATATTTACCACTCATTTTTCGTACTTTTTTCCAGACTGCACTCATAGAGGAAGCAAGGTGATGGTGGAGACATAATCTCGCCAGCAAGTGCGTTTAGCGTCACGGATGACAGGGCGAGCGATTGCACGCTTCTGCTTAAAATCAAGAAGTCTCTCTGTGGTTCTATTGTACCGGGTACCTGCCCCATGCAGCGCGTTTCAAACGTACTGCACGAGCACAAGCAGGGACCAAGGCACGCATTTCTAGAATGCCTGCCCGAAGTTTGGGGTATACAATTAAAAAGCTGCGGTTAAAACAGAGGAGGAGAAGAGGTGTAAAAGCTCATCGTGGAGGACGAAGAAGGAACCTCTGTAAAAACAGTTAGGTGTGAGTAAAGGTTCCAATTTGCCTGATCAATTGCCAGCGTGGGTTGCGAAGAGGTGGTGAATAAAAAGGGGGAAGTAAGAATGATTGGGAAATGATCGCTGTCATGTAAGCCCGGGGAGAACAGACCAAGTGAAGTCTAATGCGGCGGAGGAAGAGC